GAATCCTGCCGCCATTTCTGATTTAATATTAATTAAAAAATATATTTCATCACTTATATTCTAATTTTTATTTAATGATAAATGAAACCAATTTTAAAAATAAATGAAACAAAGGAGGAAGAAATAAATGAAAGTGAAAATGTTCAACAAAAAATAAACGTTGTTAAACCAATTACTGAAATAAAAATTTTTTCTTCTGTTGAAGAATTTAATGACTATTATGCTAATAATAAAAAACTATTTGAAGAATTGACAACATGTAAATTGAATAAAATGTTTAAAGTTGATGGATTCAAAATTTCAAAAATAAAAGGAGTGGTTAGTTTGAAATCTATTCCTCAATCAAGAATCACCTCATTAATGAAAATAGATGATTTAACAAAAAGAATAGAAGAGATTGAAGAAAGAATGAATCAAATAATTGATTTCATAAATTCAAATAATCATTAGTTTCAATTTATTTTTAAAGTTTATTTTTTAAAAAATTTTATTTTTTATTTCATTATGTATGGGCTGAGTGTAAATGTCTTACAATTTTGAAAATTTTTTAAATCTTGATTTATTCAAAAACGTAAGAATAAAAACCGTAAGAATCATACATTTTTTTACTTCATATGTTAAAAATAATGATACAAAATCGTTCAATATTGTATGAATTCTTACGATTCTGAAAATTTTTAAATCTTGATTTATTCAAAAACGTAAGAATAAAAACTGTAAGAATCTTACATTTTTTACTTCATATGTTAAAAATAATGATACAAAATCGTTCAATATTGTATGAATTCTTACGTTTACAAAAAAAGTCACAAAGCCCGTCAACATATACTACTTGTCTTATTGAAAAACAGATTTATCTGATCACAAGCACTTAAGACTTTTATAACAATAGAAATGTGTTTATGATATTGAAATAGTCAAATTACAATTTTTTTCTAAGATGTCTTATTGAAAAACAGATTTGTCTGATCACAAGCACTTAAGACTTTTATAACAATAGAAATGTGTTTATGATATTGAAATAGTCAAATTACAATTTTTTTTCTAAGATGTCTTAATGAAAAACAGATTTGTCTGATCACAAGCACTTAAGACTTTTATAACAATAGAAATGTGTTTATGATATTGAAATAGTCAAATTACAATTTTTTTTCTAAGATGTCTTATTGAAAAACAGATTTGTCTGATCACAAGCACTTAAGACTTTTATAACAATAGAAATTGTTTATGATATTGAAATAGTCAAATTACAATTTTTTTTTCTAAGATGTCTTATTGAAAAACAGATTTGTCTGATCACAAGCACTTAAGACTTTTATAACAATAGAAATGTGTTTATGATATTGAAATAGTCAAATTACAATTTTTTTTTCTAAGATGTCTTATTGAAAAACAGATTTGTCTGATCACAAGCACTTCAATATCATAAACACATTTCTATTGTTATAAAAGTCTTAAGTGCTTGTGATCAGACAAATCTGTTTTTCAACAAGACATCTTAGAAAAAAAAATTGTAATTTGACTATTTCAATATCATAAACACATTTCTATTGTTATAAAAGTCTTAAGTGCTTGTGATCAGATAAATCTGTTTTTCAATAAGACATCTTAGAAAAAAAATTGTAATTTGACTATTTCAATATCATAAACACATTTCTATTGTTATAAAAGTCTTAAGTGCTTGTGATCAGACAAATCTGTTTTTCAATAAGACATCTTAGAAAAAAAATTGTAATTTGACTATTTCAATATCATAAACACATTTCTATTGTTATAAAAGTCTTAAGTGCTTGTGATCAGACAAATCTGTTTTTCAATAAGACATCTTAGAAAAAAAAATTGTAATTTGACTATTTCAATATCATAAACACATTTCTATTGTTATAAAAGTCTTAAGTGCTTGTGATCAGACAAATCTGTTTTTCAATAAGACATCTTAGAAAAAAAAATTGTAATTTGACTATTTCAATATCATAAACACATTTCTATTGTTATAAAAGTCTTAAGTGCTTGTGATCAGACAAATCTGTTTTTCAATAAGACATCTTAGAAAAAAAAATTGTAATTTGACTATTTCAATATCATAAACACATTTCTATTGTTATAAAAGTCTTAAGTGCTTGTGATCAGACAAATCTGTTTTTCAATAAGACATCTTAGAAAAAAAAATTGTAATTTGACTATTTCAATATCATAAACACATTTCTATTGTTATAAAAGTCTTAAGTGCTTGTGATCAGACAAATCTGTTTTTCAATAAGACATCTTAGAAAAAAAAATTGTAATTTGACTATTTCAATATCATAAACACATTTCTATTGTTATAAAAGTCTTAAGTGCTTGTGATCAGACAAATCTTTTTCAATAAGACATCTTAGAAAAAAAATTGTAATTTGACTATTTCAATATCATAAACACATTTCTATTGTTATAAAAGTCTTAAGTGCTTGTGATCAGACAAATCTGTTTTTCAATAAGACATCTTAGAAAAAAAAATTGTAATTTGACTATTTCAATATCATAAACACATTTCTATTGTTATAAAAGTCTTAAGTGCTTGTGATCAGACAAATCTGTTTTTCAATAAGACATCTTAGAAAAAAAAATTGTAATTTGACTATTTCAATATCATAAACACATTTCTATTGTTATAAAAGTCTTAAGTGCTTGTGATCAGACAAATCTGTTTTTCAATAAGACATCTTAGAAAAAAAAATTGTAATTTGACTATTTCAATATCATAAACACATTTCTATTGTTATAAAAGTCTTAAGTGCTTGTGATCAGACAAATCTGTTTTTCAATAAGACATCTTAGAAAAAAAAATTGTAATTTGACTATTTCAATATCATAAACACATTTCTATTGTTATAAAAGTCTTAAGTGCTTGTGATCAGACAAATCTGTTTTTCAATAAGACATCTTAGAAAAAAAAATTGTAATTTGACTATTTCAATATCATAAACACATTTCTATTGTTATAAAAGTCTTAAGTGCTTGTGATCAGACAAATCTGTTTTTCAATAAGACATTCTGATTCAAAACTTTAAATTATATCTCTACCTTATATCAATATCTCTTTTACATATAATATTAAAGCAAACAATGCCTTCCCTACTTAATTTTACTATTTTATTTTCAATTAATTTCATATTCTTTTATCTTTCACCTTTCTCAATATTTCTAAACGCAACTTCACAGTACATTACATTTAACCACCACTTTCTTTTTATCATAAATTTATTTTTTTAATCTTTATCTTTTTTATTTCTTTATTATTTTCTTCTTCATCTAATATCTTATTTCATCTTTCACCATCTTTTTAATATTACCTATTGTTAACTCTTTATAATAATCTCATTCTGCAATTTTCATAAATACATTTTCATATAAAATCTTCTCAATTCATTTCAAACACATTCAAAAATAAAATTGTGAAATATTAATATACTATATAAAACCAATATTTTATAATTCATTATTTTTTTGAATACTTCTCAATTTTTTCTTATTCAATTTTTACTAAATAATTTCTCATTTTCTTTTTATTCTTATTCATTCTACATGCTGTTACTAGTTTACATATCATTAGCCGAAAAAATAATCATATAACAATCTTACCACATGTTAAATTTTTGATACATATGATTATTTTGAAATTTAAGAAATCGATTTCAAACATTCTAATAATGTCATAATGCAATCAGACAAATCCCAATTATTATAAACACTATAACATCGATTTTGACTTTAATTTTGAAATCGATAAAATATCTAGAAGATAAAAACTCATATATTTTGAGTGTAAACCTATTCAATTGTATTTTACTAAAGGATATAGATTCATTCACGAACTTAAATAAGTGTTCACTACATTAAATTCTCATTATTTAAAATCTGATTATTTGGCTTGTTCTTTAAAATCAAGTTTAAAGCCTACCATAGTGTGACAGGTACATTGCTAGAGACTATACTACAAGTTGGGCTATTTTAATTATAAATTAAAATAATAATTTGCATTCGCATTACACATCCTAAGTCCAAATCAAACTTGACCGATATGTAATGATAGCTAATAATATATACTTCAATGCTATATAAATGAATACCCTTAGAAACAAATATAAAGAAAGATATGAATTTTTTAAATTTTCATTTCACCTAAAATCATTCCGATCCGTAAAGTATTGAAATCTATCCCGATTAATCGGGATAAAATTGAATGAGTTGATCCCAATTTCCCGATCAATCCTGATGCCAAAAGATAAGTCGCATATTATAGCTAAGAACAATGATATATGAAAATCCAAAAAAGACTAATATTCAAGGAGATAAAAGCTTAACAAAAATAACTTTAAAAGCTCTTTTCTGAGAGTGGTCTATCGTCACAACTTTTCTTCTGTCAAAAAAAATCTATTTAAGACTATTTTAATACTTAGATTTTTTTATTCAACGATTTGAAAATTTTTTTTGTTGACGAAATAATTAATATCAGGTATATAATAATAACAACATAAAGAAGCATTCAATATTTGTTCAAAAAAAAAATTCACCATTTATTCGACTCTATATTATTTTTTAATGATTCAAATATTGAATTCAATTAAAACAGCTAGTTTTTCAATATTTGTTTGATTTAAGGGTGCCGGAAAGTAAAGATATTAATGATATTGAAACATATATTCGTAGTGTATATTATTCAAACCTATATTTAGGTTGTATAGGTATGTGCCAAAGCAATGCCTTTTGTTAACTATGTTGTTCGGCCTAGTTTAGGTACCATATCATAAAGCTTACTCACACTCATTGCTAAAAAATTCTTAAATAATATCCATGAAAGATTGTATATCTATACAAATTTATCTGTATAAAAAGTCTCTAAAATATATATACCTCACTTCAATGTCAAAAATCATTTATTTCGAATGCAATAAAAAGAAAATTGGATGGAAAACGATAATAAACATTTATTAAAAAAATACATAAAATATCTCTCACCCTCATTTAGTTAATCTTCGCCTTTGCCTCAAAAATGGCATTACCTGTTTGGAGAGACTGAATCCTGAAGGTGAATCTTCTTTCTGGAAGCATGGTATTGATATATTACCTTGTTTTAATAGGGCTGTTATTGTTAACAAGGATCGAGTTATCTTTGCCTTTGCATCATAGCCTTTATAACGCTCAATTTTAATTCCAGAAATTGTTTTGAAGATCCTGTCAACAACACAAATTTCATTCATTGAGTTTGGAACTCTTGGATAACGTGATTTATGTGGTAATCGTAAATATTTTGATCCATCAGATAGCAATTTGTTTCCATGATTAGGAAGAGAGATGTTAACAGTTTTATTTGCAAGAGACATAGGATTGTTGTCTTCGGCTTTTGGAGAACTTAATTTTGAAATTGTTGAATCTTTAATTTGCATATTTAATTTTGCATTCAAACTAAGAGACATTTTTCCATTTAGTGCAGCAAACTTCCCTTCTGTTGCATTGTTGATTAATGTACCTTGAATTGGAAGAGCACGTGCTTCTTTCACGCCAATTGACGCAGATTTGCTTGTTACAAGTCGTTGAGCTCTTCTTTGTTGATTTTTTTGTGAGTTTTTGTTTATCAAGTCTTGAATCTGCTCTCTGCTTGGCAAAGGAGAAGGAATTAGAGGTGTAAATCTGTTATGAGATTTATGAATATCAGCTTTGATGGCTATAACTTCCTTTTTGACGGATGTGAGATCGGTTCCTGGGAAATAGCAATTACCATTTTTGAAAAGTCGGTAAATTCGACGAAAATCGGGTCTCCGTGCTGGATTTTCCATTGTGCAACATTGGACAAGCGCACGAAGAATTTTTGGTGCAGAAGACGGAATAAACTCTTGATGAGTACGTGCAAGTACTGCTGCTCCTTGAGCTGGAACCTGTTCATTGTAAAGTTCGGAAATTAAGGTACCGAATGAATACACATCTGATGCAGATGTTGGGACAGCTCCAGTAAGGACTTCTGGAGCACACCAGTAAGGATCATTTATGCGATATTGAATAGGTACCTGTAAAGCTAAAGCTATAGCTCCATATCCAAAGTCAGAAACAAGAGGGCGCATATCATCTCCAAGCATAATGTTCCGAGATTTGAGGTCACCGTGAACGATGTGCATTTTGTGTAATCTACGCAAAGCGTATGCAATTCCCATTGCAATTTTGGTTTTGTCTGTTGGATTGAGCCTACCGCTCTTAATGGCTTCATATAAATTTCCATTTGGTATATAGTTCGAAGCAATAATAATAGGATTGTTAAATATAAATCCGATAGGGGGATTTAAATACCTATTTGTAGCTCTCATGAGCAAAATATATTGAGAAAATAATTTGTTTAATTTTTCTTGATCACTATCTGCATAATATATTTGTTTTATTACTATATTGCGATTCGTGATAGAATATTTTGAAATGTTGGAATAACCATAATCTCCCGTTTCAAGCTTTTGCATCGGTATGGTATCCTTTTTGAGAAAACAATAAGGCGCAAACATTTCGCGAAATTCACGAAGGGCCACGCCTCTTGACCTCATTGGGGAAATTCAAAAATTGGTTGTTTTCAGAGATATCACAAAAATTGTATAAAAATGTAAAATATTTTTAACACAATTTTACATTTTGAAATTATTCTTCAATAACAAATGGTAATATGATTTTAAGTAATAAAATTATTGCGGGTAAAAAAATCTGGGAAAATTCTCCTCGAATTATGTAAATTTGTTTATCCTATACTTATGTAAAGCGATTAATCCAGAAGAATTTTTTTTTTCAATGGTTAGGAAAAATTATCTGTTTCAAAGTAATCTTTGTTCAAGCACTGGTAACGACAACAAATAGCCGAGTCATATCGCTCATATACACAATTCAATCTCATTTCCAGATGGAAATTCATTGCTAATTTAAATCTAGATACGTTTATTTGATTTAATTTAAATACCGATATATGTGGCTCCGATTATATATGCTTTCAAAGAAAAGTCATATAAGATTTTGAAATCATTGCAACTTATTATATTTATTGTAAATAAAATCGTTGGTGATGAAAGAAAGATCATGAAATAAATTTCATATATTTGCCACATCAAAAAAAGTGATAAAAATTGTCAGATATTATCCTTTATTTTGAGTAATAACCGCGTATTTTTAGCAAGATTTTCAAATGTCTTTCCCTTTTTATTTCCACATTTATTATAATTTTTTTAGAATTCATTGAAATGAACTCTCATTTCAGTATCAAAACCGTTTTTTCTTTGAATTACAGAATTTTGACTATTTTTGAATACTAGGGCCATTAAACTCATGTCTTCAGCCGAAGAAGAGGTTCATCATGATTTAGAAATTCAAGAAGTTGATGCTGGCTCTCAGGAAAAGGCTACAATTCCAGTCAACAAGCTTAAGAAGGGTGGCTACGTTCTCATCGAAGGCCGTCCATGCCGTGTTGTCGATATCACAAAGTCCAAGACAGGTAAGCACGGACACGCCAAGGCAGGCATTGCCGGCACAGATCTTTTCACAGGCCGTCGTTATGAAACTCACCTTCCAACATCTCACGAAATCGAAGTTCCATTTGTTGACCGTTCCGATTATGGTCTCATTAACATTGATGATGACCACACACAGCTTCTTACCCTTGATGGCACACTCCGCGAGGATGTTGATCTTCCACCAGAGGGCAATGAAATGCGCCAGCGTGTTATTGACCTCTTCAATCAGTGCGTTAACACCAACGACCAGGTTGTTGTTACAGTTCTTTCATCCAACGGTGAAAACCTCATTGTCGACTGCAAGAAGTCTACAAATTAAAATATCAATTGATATCAACATAATTCTTCAATTTTTTAGTATTTTTTAATTTCCATCGATTTACCACAATAATATATTTATTAAGCAGGAGCGATAATTCGTTAATTGCTTTTTCGTTCTCATTTTCTTAATAATTTGATCCGTTCTCCGTTTAGTAACGTTTGTGGGTTATCTACTGAATTGTTAAATGATTGTATTATTAAATCTAAATCTTTTAATTATATTTTAAATAAAACCACATCTTTGTAGCAATCGATAATATCCAATACATATATATGACTTAGATTTATATATTGTAAGTCATACAGTGCTTGTACTATGTTATCAGAGTGAATTTAATTTTTTGTAACTAATTTCGAATTTCCATTAATTTATAGTATCATATTTTATATAACAGTGATGACTATAGTTTAAACTTAAACAAAAGTGTTTGATATGATCTCAAAATCTTTTCGTTCACAAAAAAAAGTAACTAAACGTACAATTATAATCAGGTTCCGAAATGGGTATTAAGAATCTGATGAAATGGATAGAACAAGTTGCTCCAGAGGCAATTAAAACAATCAAGTTGGAGTCATTGTTTGGCAGAAAAATAGCTATTGATGCTTCGTTATCAATTTATCAATTTCTCGTTTCTGTTAGACACACTGGACAGCAGCTCGTTGACTCTGAAGGCAATACTACATCTCATCTTCAAGGTGTATTGAGTCGAACAGTTCGACTTATTGAAAGTGGTGTGAAACCAGTTTACGTATTTGATGGAAAGCCGCCAGAGATGAAAGGCGCTGAATTGGCAAAGCGTCTTGAACGTCGTGAGGAAGCTCAAAAGGAACTTGAAAAGGCAATCGAATCTGGGGATCAAGAAGCAATTGATAAGTTTTCCAGGAGAACGGTACACCTTGATAAAACTCAAGTTGAAGAATGCAAGCAGCTTTTGGAATGTCTTGGAGTTCCTTACGTGGATGCTCCTTGCGAAGCTGAAGCGGAATGCGCAGCATTAAATAAAGCAGGACTTGTTGATGCAATGGCTACAGAAGATATGGACTCACTTGCTTTTGCAACGCCACAACTTATTAGACATTTGTCATATGGTGCAAAAGGTGATGATTTACTTCAAATTGACTATAAGATTATGATGGAAAAATCAGGACTCACTCGGGAAGAATTTGTGGATTTTTGCATTTTAATGGGTTGTGACTACTGTGACACCATTAAAGGCATTGGAAAAAAGCATGCTTATGAATTAATCAAAAAATATCATAACATCGAGACAATTATCAAAAATCTTGATAAAAAATATGAATTGCCTGAGGATTTTGACTATGTTAGGGCCAGAGAACTTTTCTTCAATCATGAAGTTACAACAGATGTCAATCTCACATGGAAAAAGCCTGATGTTGAAAAAGTCAAAGAATTTTTATGTGGTTCCAGAATGTTCGCAGAAAGTCGAGTTGAAGCTGCATGTGCTAAGATTGTTAAAGCACGTGGAAAAGGAACTCAGATGAGAATGGATAATTTCTTTAAGCCGGCACCTTCTAAGCCATCTGGAGAAGATACAAAGAAGAAAAAGCCAGAGAAAACTCCACCCAAAAAGAAAAAGTAAAAAATAAACTTTTTTTTATAAATACTTTTTTGATTTATTCTTTGACTGCACTAACTGAGATGTAAATTGCGTTCTGAATTGATATTTTGAATACTAGTGAAACTTTAAAAAAAATTATAATGCATAGAAAGATAGTAAAAATAAGATAATATAAACATTATCAATTATGAAAATTTGGGATCAATTTGAATGAAAAATAAATAGCTTTTGTTTTAATTCAAAGAAGTTGAGTATTGAGCTTGATACAATTGAAAGAAGCACATTAGGATCAACAAATTCAAAAGAATATTTTTCAATACAACTGTAAATCAGACCACGAAGAGGTAGGGCAACGATAGAAAATTTTTGGAAAAAAAGTTCGGAGATCTTAAACGTATCATATTCCCTGCATGGTTTGGTATCTTCCGCCATGCGTTGTGCCAAACATATTGACACTTTCCAATAATTAATTTATGGTATGAGTCACAGAGTTAGATTATAAAAAGAAAGTAAATAATTGCAATTAGAAATCATATATGTCGGAAATCAAATGTTGATGAGCAGAAACCTTTTACTCATCATAAAAGAGATAAATCACTAAAGATTTGTATACATTAAAATTTGATATTTGGTGCTCGAAAACTGTCTGATGGGACTCCTCCAAAATGAACCAATCTATCGCTGAGGACCAAATTAGATGATGTGGATGGTGTATTCTCTAATTCTAACTTAGGAAGAATGGGAACAAAACGAATGACGACAACAACATGTCAAACATAGATTAAATATCTATGAATCAATAAAGTATACGTGCATTGAAGGTGATAACGATCACTTGAGGCTTATAACTCTTTGACTAAAATGCAGAATATTAAATATAATCATTTTTATATTTTTATACTGATAGTAATTAATATACTATCTGCTTAATAAATGGTATGATCAAATTTGTTTGAAAATTTAATTATGTATATGAAACTATGTCTTCTATATAAAAATCAAAATTTTCGGACGAACCTAGATTGAACCTTTATGAAAATCTATCATTTTTGTTAATTGAGTTAATATGAATCTTTTACATATGTATATATAGCATTGATAGCTTATATAATCATGGTTTATTCCATATTAACATATTTTTTCAGTTAAATTTGTTAATAATATCATGTAACAAATTAATTCAAGATTAGAATGTCTACAAAATGCTAACAAATAAGAACAAAATACGATTTCTCGACTTAAATTTTAATATGGAGTAGTTTTCGTTTAAATCTAATTAAAAATGAATAAACTTATCTGTACTATTTTCATTCAAAGATTTTAATAATGTAAATCATGCATTTTCATAATTCAGTACAGTTCTTTTTAGAATTAAAGTTGATGAGGATGATATTTGTGATTTAAAATAATTTGTTAATGTTCACCTTTTATTCATCACCTTGTGGTATGCCCTAAAGCAATAGCATTATCAATTCTGCTGAATTGATCAACTCAAAATTCCAAAAAAAATTTTAAAATTTCAAAAATGAAATTAAACAATTTGAATTTTCACATGAAAAAATCAATTTCGAAAAAAATTTGGAAAATCAAAGTATTTGATAATTAGTCAAATAATCAATTTACATCGTTTTTACTCATAAAAAACAACTAATTTTTGATTTTTGATATCATATTTGATAAATACTCATTCCAGAGTTGACGTAATGTATTAATTATTGTTAGAGATATTGCTTTCGCAACAAAATTCTTATTTCATGAAAGAAAAAAAAATGATTTTATTCCAACAAAAACAAGTAAACAGATGAATGGAAATGTACTATATTTTCATAAATGTAGTAATCAGTGTGTCAGCTTTTGTTTATCATGTTCGAGTCAAAATGTATTAACTTGTAATAAGAAATATTCGAAGATTATATGAAGTATTGAGCATTCTTTGTAGAAATATTTGTAATTCATTACTAACATATATAATAAAGTTTTTTTTCCTTATTGCAATAATTTTGTCTGATTTTAATAACTTTTCATGTATACGAGTTGTGTGAATATGCATCATAATATGCGTAAATATACTTATTTGCGACAAATAATGTGGTTGCATAATGGAGGTGCTAAATTTTGATTTTTAATATGGGGCTTTGGTATGTATTGTAATAAACAGAAATTCGTCAAAAGTGACAGCTCTCAATTTTTTGACATTTGTAAATTCTAAATTGAATGAGAAAAATGAAATAATACTAAGCATAATACAATATTCTAGATTTAATTATAATTAGGAAAAAGTTAGTTTTGAGAGTACTTTTCATAGGCATATAGAATGAAATCTTCTGAAAAATAATATCACATAAACTCATATTATTTTCTAATATATAACTATTTTATATAAAAATCAAATTCAATGATCTTAAAAGCGAAGGATAAACCTCAAAATTTACGAATATAATGAGTGGGAATATAATGCTTATCTATCATAAAACCATATGAAATATCAATTTTTGCTTTACGCCTAATTTTTGACGACAATTAGCAAAAAATGTTAAATGTTAACACTCAGTCCATTTGAATATGAAAAATAAATTGACTTTGATTAAATGTTTTTATTTATCATGCAATTCTTCTTGCGACCAAAGATTTGAATAAAAGTTCAAAAAATAAGATAGCTTAAAAAATAATATACGGTAGTGTTTACTAATAGATGAATAGTATATAAATTCTATTAAAATGGATTTGATCCAAAAAAATATATAAAATTTGATCATAAATAAAATCGTTTTAAATTACTTCTTCATTTAAATTATAACAATTATTTTTTGGTTTTATATTTTTTTGGATCAAATCCATTTTAATAGAATTTATATACTATTCATCTATTAGTAAACACTACCGTATATTATTTTTTAAGCTATCTTATTTTTTGAAATTTTATTCAAATCTTTGGTCGCAAGAAGAATTGCATGATAAATAAAAACATTTAATCAAAGTCAATTTTTATTTTTCATATTCAAATGGACTGAGTGTTAACATTTAACATTTTTTGCTAATTGTCGTCAAAAATTAGGCGTAAAGCAAAAAATTGATATTTCATATGGTTTATGATAGATAAGCATTATATTCCCACTCATTATATTCGTAAATTTTGAGGTTTATCCTTCGCTTTTAAGATCATTGAATTTGATTTTTATATAAAATAGTTATATATTAGAAAATAATATGAGTTTATGTGATATTATTTTTCAGAAGATTTTGTGTTCTTCTTCAAAATTTTATTTTTTTATTAAAAAGAATCTTTGCAAAATATACATTTACTTTAATTAATATTTAAAAACGTGCTCTATCAAAAGTTCCAAAAATTCAATATTTTAGCTTTTCTGAGGTGTCACTTTTGATGAATTTCTGTTTACAACATGATGAATTTCTGTTTACAACAGTATAATCATGTTCTTATCTCAACGTAGGAGTATTGGTGCAATATGATTAAAATTTACGAGGTTGATCTTAAATTGAATAATTCTGGAGTATAAATCACAATGCAGCTAATTCTATGTTAAAGATAGATACAGATTGTAGTAATCAATTAGGAAGTACAAATTCATTCTTTCATTTCTGTCGTATTGAGCAGAAAGGAAGAGATCATAACCCTAGGAAAAAAAGCCCAAATTTGTCACTTTTCATAGTACGTTAAACTCAATTCGCTCGGCGAATGCCGAGCACACGTACTCATCATTCAACATAATATTCTCATTCTTTGGTTATTATAGTGCCAGACAACACAAGATTTCAAAGAATTACTTGAGTTTTCAATTAATCTTAATCCGATTTTAGATTTATCGAGAACTCCATCATCACAATCACATACTTCAGTGCGGTAACTACAATTATCCATATACAGAAGGAAGTTCTTTTCGAACAACTCATTTGGAGTCTGTTTTGGAAAGAACTTCTTTCTGTCCGACTTAATTTCATAGTTCCTGATCAACCAAAAGACAGAAACCACACACTATCTACTTAGGAAAGGAGTTCTTTCTAAATCTTCCTTCAATTGAGATTTTACGAGAGATAACCCTTCTATTGCACTTAAAAATGAACATTTTGATATCTTTAGTATCACACATGGTCATATATAGTATTTCATCTACATGAATACATTCATCTTTCGAAGTCTCTCATTAAATGGGAGGCTTCGAAAGATGAATCGTTTTATTCATACAACTTTAAATCTCGAACACATTTAGAGAGTGAGTATATCATTTTATTCTTGTTTTGAGTTTATTCTGATTCAAAATTGCAGTGAAAACAGAAGTTCACACATCATATCTGAATGTGAGCTCATCTATACTTATACGATCTCAATACCTCCACTCTAAGCATAAGAGGTGAAGTTATATAAAAATTATCAGATGCGTTGAAGTCTCAAAAGTATTGCCTGAATGCTTGTTTCATATTTGTCCAAGTAGTTTCAATGAATAAATGTATTGTTTTTTATAATTTCGATTTATTTTTAGAAAATATTCAATATAAACCTTTATTGTGTTATTTACATCTCATAAATTCTCTGTCTAAATCATATAAAAGCGCGTTTTACCCCTATGAATCAAGAAATTCATTCAATATTCATGGTATATTTATTAAATTTATACGATTTACTAATAATCAATATTATATCCTCATAAATAGCAATATATTTTGGTAATCTATGATAATCATATACAATATTTGAAATCAAATTTTCATTAGTTTAGGTTCCTTGTTAATAGTAAACCATTATATTTATTACTAATAATAAAATCTATGTGTCGTATTGAAATTCAATAAAATTACTTATTCGGTCCAAAAAAACAAATTAGATAAATTTTTTCTTTTTTTATGTAATTTTTGTTTTTCATTTTTCTCAAGATCCTAAGTTATGTTCTAACTTTTGACATCATATCCTATCATGCTAGGCTATATATTATAGCATATCCAAAAGGCAAGGAAATCTATCAGAGAAGCCTTTTTGACCTATCGTTGCCCTACCTCTGACCACG